TAGCAACATGTTAACCAACAGAGTAAAACTTTAATTGATAACAACTCAAACTTAATTGTATTGTTAACATCATTGATGTTAGGGAATGATAATGCATAGCATTAAATCACAAAATGGAAGACAATGGCGAAATACAGACTCCTTGGCCCCCAGGCCTGTTTTTCATTGTTTTTGTTCAAACATTCTTCCAGTTTGTGAAGCTGAACACTGTGACACTGATGTGTCAAATCTGATAACGGATACCCATGGTGGACAGTGTTTGGTGCTGCTCACTCCCTGATTAAAACAAGCTTGGAAGCAGGAGCGGCATCCACTTCCATAATAGCTTGCTTCCTAAAACCCTATGAACCTGGAGAAAAGATGAAAGTCACACAAGTGTTGAGGACCTTCATTCATAGGGTCACTATAAGTCGCCTACGACTCAATGGCACTTTGCAACAACAATCAAATTGATGCATACTTTGGGAAAAGGGTACATGATTCAATCTATAAAAACTCTGTTATTGTTGTTGTTATGTGCCGTTGAGTCGCTTGCGACTCATAGTGACCCTATGCACAACAGCCCTAAACTCTGCTCTGCCCTGTGCCAATCGCACCATCTCTGAAACGCAGAGGCTGATTACCCCAGTCAATGAATCAATTCACCTCATGGAAGGCCTTCCCCTCCTGCGCTGTCCCGCCACCCTACCAAGCATGATGTCCCTCTCCAAGGGCTGGTCCCTCCTTACAACATATCCAAATTATGTTAGACAGAGCTTCAGAATCCTTGCCTCCAAGGAGACGCCCAGTTTAACCCTTTCCAGGATGAATCTGTTTGCTTTCCTAGCAGTCCATGGTACCCTCAATACTCTTCTCCAGCACCACAGCTCAAAGGCATCAATTCTCCTTCTAGCCTCCTTAGTCATTGTCCAACGCTCTGATGCATAACAAGTGATAGCAAAGACCATGGCCTGTATCAGATGCACCTTAGTCTCCAGAGAGACACCATTACTCTTCAGTACTTTGGAGAGGTCCCTATCAGGAAACTTTCCCATCACAATACATCTTTTAATGTCCTGGCTACTGGTGCCAAGAGTGTTGACTGTGGAGCCAAGCAAATTAAAGCTGTGAACAATATAAATCTCTTCATCCATCCTGATGCTGCCAATTGGCCCAGTGGTGAGAAACTGTCTTCTTGATATTGAGCTTCAATCCATATTGGAGGCTGCAGTCCTTGACCCTCTGCAGCAAGCACTTCAGGTCCTCCTCAGTTTTATCATACAGGGTTGTGTCATCTGCATATCACAGATTGTTGGTAGATCTTCCACCAATCTTGACCCCACATTTCTCCTTATAGAGCCCAACCTCCCAGATAATCTGTTCTGCATACAGGTTGAAAAGGTATGGAGACAGGACACATCCCTGGCATACAAAAATATAAATGAAAAGTACTTAACAACTTGTTCTGAATGCTTTGAATGGAATCTGGCCATGAATCCTGAGCATTAGCTAAAAGTGATTATTTCTCTACTGTCACATCATCAAATATTAATTACAAACCAGGAAAGAGATTTACATTGTTGGGGTTTTGTTAGGTTTTTTTGGTGGGTTGATTTTTGGGTTTTTTTTGTTTTTGTTTTGTAGCTCTGTGACAAGTACAAAGTATTTTACTTTGCTTCATTTTTGACATATGTATTCTAAAGTCCTTTCACACTCCTTAACTTCATCTTATGTTGCAATGTGGCAAAGTTTATTTTCCTTAAAGAGCACCACATGTATCCACTCTCTTTTTAGTATGTATGTCCCAGGGTGCCTTGTCACATGCAAACACAGAGTATGTGGTTTTGATGGATCCCAAACAACTGACCATGTTCTTTCTGTGACATCAAACATCTGGAGAGTATTCATGCAAATGTGTAACTTGACACAGAATCTGGTTTATATATTTGACAGAACATCTCCACAAATACCAGGCAGTTTGTATTTTCAGTAATAGTAACCTCTGCCAGATGAATGCCGATTGAATTTGGATGGGCATTCATCTTTGGCAGAATGTATCCAACGCTGATAACATTTATTTTTGGAAATAGATTTCTCTGAATTCCAGAAATGCCTAGAGAAGAGGACAGCATCTCACCCAGACTGAGAGTGGTATTTCATTGTTCGCCCTGCATCTAATATTCTCAAGGATCTTGGAGAGATCATTAACACTGAGTATCTTTCTTCAACTATAAACTGGGATTGTCCAGTTTACCATCACATAACTTTCTCAAGATAGTATTTATAATTGGTTTAAGTAGAATTCAGATGAAGAGAGTTAGAAAGAAATTAAAATAGATATCCAAGAGTTTATATTCAACCTTGACTACACCAACAATTCTGATTCTTATTTTATCCTCATCAGGAAATATTGTTCTATTTACAATAATTAATTTTAAGTCAGAAAAAGTACTTATGCTGAGAATTCACTGATGAAAAATTTCTTGACAGTTGCGTTATTTATATACGTCTGTCAGGAACACCATGCTTGGAAGACTGAGGGCTGGTGAAAGTAAGGAAGACCCTCAATGAGGTGGATTGACATGGTGTCTTCAACAAAGCTTTCTAATATGTCAGAGATGAGGAGGATGACACAGGATAGGACACGGTTCAGGCCAGCTGTTCACTGGGTCACTATGAGTTGTGCTCAACTCAATGGCACCTAACACCAACAACAATCAGGCTCCTGTGTATTTTGCCTACTCACTGACTGTAGTTAAGTCAACCCCATATGTAATGACAAAGGACCAAATTCACATAGTTTCAGGACCATTTCAATGTAATGGCATCTGTCATACTTTGTCTTAGAAGTTAGTTCACATCTTCAGATAATATCCCTAATTCATCTCTGTATTCACACCAACTAGATGGCCAGAAGACATAGTCTTAGAAGGAGGATGGGCTGTTTGATAAAGTGAACCAGTCCTGAGATAGTTTGGTCATTGAAGGATGAATAATTACTACTTGGGAGGATTATAAAGAAATGTTATCAACAAAAGAAATTCAACAAATTATTTCTAAGAAAACTAAATATTTAAATCAAGCAGAAGTGGCATCCACTTCCTAAACAACATGCCTCTGGAAACTCTATGAACTGATAAATGTTGACAGTTGTAGAGGGACTTCAGGCCTTTCGTTCAGAAGTCTCTATGAGTCGTGCTCGACTTGAAGGAAGTCAACAACAACAAAAACCTAGCTTTAGTAGATTTCCCAAGAGATTCAGAATAAGACTTCCAAAGAGAGAGTCCAATAGTTTGGAAACTGAAATGGAATATAAGATAACAAAGAAGAAACTCTCCACCAGTGAGGTAGTCAGCCATGTAATGTATGAGTGAAGTATGGAACTGAGAAATAGAAAGATAGACATGAATAGAGTCAACCAGACTCAAACTTCCAAGCAGTATTTAAGATTCCTCTGTGAAATTATTGGTCTTTGCAAATATAAGCAAGAAGAGAAGAACTTTTGGAATAGCAGCTTGAGGAGCCGTAGGAACCCTGGCCCTTGAAAACTATAACTTCTTATGTCATAAAATAACAGCAGTGATTTAAAGTCCCTTGAATTCCGTTTGCTTGGATCCACAATAAACACTCTTGGTACTAGCAGCCAGGAAATCAAAAGACTAATTGGATTGGGAAAGTCTGCTGGCAGAGACCTCTCCAGAGTACTGAAGAGCAGCGATGTCAGTTTAGAGACTAAAATGCACCTAAACCAGGCCATAACCAGTACTTGCTATGCATCAGAAAGCTAGACAATGACTAGGGATGAGAGAAGAATTGATACCTTTGAGCTGTGGTGCTGGATTGAATATGCCATGGAGTGCTAGGAGAACAAACAGGTTCATCATAGAGAAGGTGAAAGCAGGCTGCTCTTCGGAGGCAAGGATTCTGAAGCTTCATCTAACATACTTTGGACATGTTGCAAGCAGTGACCAGTCCTTGGATAGGGACCATCATGCTTGGGAGGGTGGAGGAGACTCTTGATGAAATGAATTGATTCAGTGATATCGGTAATGGGAGTAGGTATGACAGAGACAATAAGGTTGGCACAAGATATAGCAGGATTCAGAGCTGTTGTACGTAGGGTTGCTATGAGTTGCAAGTGACTCAGCATTACAAAACGACGATGACAAACATACTTATTATAAGGGTTCTTTTAAATTGAAATAAATTTAGGAGCAAGGAGTTCATATTGTAAAACCTTCTAAACCTACTTACTATAAACATAATTTCTATGTCTAAAAATGGGAATTGTGAATGTGAAATTCCACAGAAAATTTGTGGCAAACCATTGGCTACAGTGCCTAAATTTATTATCAATTTGTGGTTGAGTATCTTTTGAGCATCACTTTTCAAAGAGCTATGAACTTAAATATAAGTATGCATTTTTTTCTTATACAAAATTTAAGTGTACATGTTTTCCATCATATTGGGAGCATTTCGTTCACATGAACTTTATAAAAATCCTTGTGAAAAGTGAAACGGCACTGGCAATGTAGAGATGACATAAGCATGACAAGAGAACTCTAGAAATAAAGAATATAAACAGGAACACAAAAATGGAATATACCATTGTACAAGTGCTAGGAAATAATTCAGGAATGTTAGACCCAAACAGCCAATATTTTCCTGCTAGCAGCAGTGTGTGAAAGTCACATGCTCGTGATGCATTGTGTAGCAATGTGTAACTACTGATTTCCATGGGCCAGCAGGAAAGATTGGAATGACAAAGCATCATGGAAGGACAAAGAGGGCCTGAATAGATTAAAATTCTTGTTATTATAGCCTCTCAGACAAATGCAAACTTGGCAAAGATTTCATTTTCTCCAAAGTTTATTTTAGCACCTTTAAAGTACATCTAGGCTGTTTCCCATTTCTGTGTACTTGTTTTTTGTGTGTGATATTCTGACCAAGAAAATGAACAAGAAAAAAACAGAATAAATCATTTTTTTTTATACTGAGGGGGAAAAAAATCAAACTAATACCTGTGGACATCTGGCAGCACTATAGCAATCTCCAGCTGTTGCAAATGGAACTGAGTTTCCAAATAATGTCCGAGAAAAAAGAAGATCTGTGGCTGAAAAGAAAAAAAAATGTAATTAAAGCTCTTTACTAACGGGGAAGAAGTGGGAAGATGCTGTTACATTTTAGGGGTTACAATCAATGTAACAAATGAAAACATGCATGAAAAACCTTTACTCAAATCACAAAAAGAAGGTTTTTTTAAGGCAAGTGTGCTAATTCCTTTTGTTTGTCATATAATCATTATTGTTTTGTTACTATTATTTTCAACTTTATTTTTGCTAACAGTATTCATAGAGTTTTCTGATTGGCCATTATGCTGGAGGTACAATAGGATGCTTTAAAAATAGATAACTGAATAAAAAACAAGTAATGAAAAGAACCCTAAAAAAATCAATGGACAAATTATTCATGTTTTGGAGCACTTAAATAATACTACAGTGAAATGGCATTGTTTCAAATTCTTCACTTTCCATGAAGACTAAAATACTGTTGCATGTCCCAAGATGATGCCAGTACCCTGGGGGCAATCTCCAAATGAAATCTTTTGGTAAGTATATTTTATATATACAAAGGCAGTTTGCAAAAGCAGAAGCTTTCAGTGGTGTTCTGGAGACAACTTATGTTGACATATAAGAGACGATTGTGTGAATCTCTTTCCAATTCCATGTATATGAAGACCAAGCTAATAGGCTGAAATTATTTACAGTAGGAATTTCGCTGTTATTATGTACAGTCTAGTGATCCTGTGAACCATAGCTCTAAGCTCTGCCTTGTCTTGAGCCAATTTCACCATCTCTGACATAGTTGTCCCTATTGCCACAGTAAACTGTATCAACCCATCTGTTGCAGAGTCTTCCTCTCCTGTGCTCACTCTCTCTATCTGATCCAGAGTCTTCCTTTCCTGTGTTATCCCTCTACCGTTCCAAGCATGATATCCTTCTCCAAGGACTTGTCCCTCCTGGCAAAATGCCCAAAGTATGTGAAACAGAGCTTCACAATACTTGCCTCTAAGAACCAATTTAGTTTCATCCTCTTCAGGAGAGATCTGTTTATTTATTTAGGTTTTCGTACTATTTAAAGAACCTGTCCATGTAGGAATTAATTGACAAATGTCAGAGGGGGAAAAAAATAGGAAAAAATTAATTCACTTTAAATGGTGAAGGAATAATTCAGAAAGAGAGGGTAAAAATTATTCATAACTTGAAGAAGGTGATTAATGTCATTGATTTATATAGGTAGAAACTTGGGTTGATGTATATATTTTTTGATATATATATTGTTTTGCTGTATATTTTTAAAAACCTAAAAAAATTGTTATTTTAAAACTTTGAGTTGGAATTGTTATTTGAGTGAAGCCTTACAGAGCAATTGGCTTTCCATATTAAGTTTTGTGATATTCATTACAATCCCTACATTGTAACAGTACCCAATGAAAATAAGTGAGTAAACCACAGGAATAAGCTTGGAAAAATGTCTTCGATTAAAAAAATCCAAAAAACCTTAAAAGCTGTGACATGGTTAGTGTGTTCAAGGAACAATAGAGAGGTTGTTGTGTTTTGAGGGAAGTATGCAAGAGAAGGAGCAGTAGGTGATGAAGTCAAAGATATGACAGAAATGGAAAGGCCATGTTAAGCTTATAGACCATTAAAGAACTTTAGAATTGTCTGAATGAGAAGCAAGGGGCAAGATTTTAGAAAAGAGTGCTCAGAAGGCATAGCATTGCTTATGTTTTGTGAGATTATTTCAACTGCTCTGAAAATTGAGAAGAAAATGTAGGTCAAGAAGGGCAACATGGTGCAATTCCAAAACAGGCATATTAGTGTTTGTAGTAATACAACTGAAAGTTGATGTGAACATGAGTAAAAAACAAATTCAAAGTCAATGCCATTGAGTCAGTTTTGCCTCATAGAGATTCTCCACCTTGTTTGCAAGACTGTAAATCTTTTTAAGTGGAGATTACCTATCTTTCTATCTCAGAGTAATGAGTAGATTAGAATTCCTAACCTTTTAATTAGCAGTGTGATACATTATGCACTAGGCCACTGGGGCTTCTGGTCTTAGATCAAGATAACAGTAAATTAGATAGTGAGAAACTGAGATTGGTGTGTATTTTGAAAATTAACTTGACAGGGTATGGAGATAGACTGAGTACATATGGGAGTGGGGATGATAAAAAGGAAGAAACTAAGATGATATGGCAGTGCAAGATGAATTTGGGAGTTCAAGGTTGCAGTTCAATAAAGAGAAACATTTCAAACTGTCATTTAATATGTAATATTTGAATTCTAGAAATGAAATTAAATCTTCAATGAAATGAACCTCTTCAGTATTATTTTGTTAGAAGATGAAGTAGAATCAGCAAATTTGGAAAGACTTGCCATGACCGGTACAAATATAGAAGAGTATGATGTCCTGGAAACCAAGTGTTGTTGATAGTTGTTGTTGTTGTTGTTATGTGCCATCGAGTCGCTTGTGACTCATAGCAATGAGTCGCAAGTGTTATTGATAAGGCAAGTAAAATAAAAATCGTGAATTTATCATTAATGGAGCCCTGTTGGCATAACATATGAGTTGGGTTGCTACTAGCTGCTCCTGGAAGTAGACAGCAGCCTGCTCTGTTAAAATGTACAATCTTGAGAACTCATGGGAGGGGTTGTCATCAATCTGAATGGACTTGACAGCAGTGAGCTTGTTTCTTTTAGGAAGATAGAGATCAATGCTTCTGATAAGGATTGTTTGCTATGAATTATATAAATGAAAAACATATTAAAGTGAGTTCAAGAGAATAGAGAGAAGAGAATGCAGAGAGGAGAAGTAATATACAAAGTAAGAAATTTCACTAAGAAGAAAAATAGAAGAATAGTGGCTTCAGAGGCTACAGAGGAAGGAGCTCTTTTTGTCTCATCAGGATGTAAATGATTCATCAGAGAAAACTGATGGTCTAAAAGCAAAAGAGAAATTGACTGTAATCTTATTTTTAAATAAGGTAATGAATCTAGAGGTGAAGTTTGCCTTATATGGACATGTGTGCAGTAATAATAGAAGATAAGCAAAGCATGTAAGTAAAAATTTAGATAGACAAGTAGGTGGGATAATGATGTATAAAAATTCTCTTTTGATTTGTTTTTTATTTTCTCATTGATGTTGTTAACAGCTTTAGCTTGCTCAGCTCCACAATCAACACTCTTGTCACCAGCAGTCAGGAAATAAAAATACAAAATGCATTAAGTAAATTTGCTGTCAGGGACCTTTCCAGAGTACTGAGAACCAACAATGGCAGTTTAGAGACTAAGGTGCCCCTGATCCAAGCCATGGTCTTTGCAATTTACTTTCTATATGTCAGAGAGCTGGATAATGACTAAGGATGACAGAAAAAGAATTGATACTTTTGAGTTGTGGTGCTGGAGAAGAGTCTTGAACATACCATGGACCTCCAAAAAACAAATAGATTTGTCTTGAAGAGGATGAAAGTAAGTTTTCTCTTGGAGTTTAAGATTTTAAAACTCTGTCTCACATACTTTGGGCATGTGGCCAGGAGGAACCGATCCTTGGAGAAGGACATCATGCCCAGAAGGGTGGAGGGACAGTGCAGAAAAGGAAGACCCCAATGAGATGGATTGATACAGTAACTAGGACAATGGGGTTAGGTGTGTCAGAGTCAGTAAGACTGGCTCAAGACAGGGTAGGCTTCAGAGCTGTTCTACAGAAGGTTGCTATGTCACATATGACTCGATGGCACCTAACATCAACTTGAAATTAGAAACAAAATTATCAGCCATGACGTATTAGAGGGAGGCATCAGAAATATTGGAAACCTGAAGCTAGAGAAGAAGGTATGAGACACTTACATGAGTGGGAGAGTGAATGGACTGGAGAAGTAATATGTGGTAACTCAGCAGCCCTAAGCATCCATGTAAAGTTCATAGCAAAGCCTTGACATTGATACTGGACAGCATGATTTTGTATTATTTCCTGAAGTCAGCTCCATAGCACAGGTGTTTGTTGTGATTGTTGGCAGTCTCCACGTCAAGTACAAAACATTGTCCTGTCCTGTGCCAGTCTCATGATCTCTGCTGTGCCCAAGTTTACCACTGCAATCACTGTGTCAATCAATCATCTGGAGAGATTTTTCTCCCTTTAAGTACCCTCTATTTTTTCCCAGCATAAAGTCTTCTTCAAAGGACTGATCCCTTCTGACAACGTGCCCAAAGCATGTAAGATTAAGTTTCACCATCCTTTCCTCTAAGAAGAGTACTGGTTACACTTCCTCCAAGACTGATTTGTTTGTTCTTTTGGGATTACATGGCATATTTAATACTCTTTGCCAACACCACAGTTTAAAGACACAAAATTAAAAAAAACAACAACAAGGAACAAATACAGATATCACTTCTTCTTCAGTCTTCTGAAGGTGTATAATGCATGCCAGGCTTAATTAAATCAATTCTTTTTTAAAACCAATGAGTTTTTCAATGCAAGTCTGAGAAAGGAAAAAGCAGATAGGGAGTTGAAAATATTTGTAAAAATATTAAGTCAATTTTAACTTTAAATTAATATTAATTGTTGTATAGCAAAAAAAAAAAACCCAAACCAAAATCTACATAAATATGTTTGACATGCTGATTGTCTTAGCGTTAGTATAGTTAGAATTTTTAAGGCAGAATATTTTGTTTTGGAAGGGCTCTTCTTATCCACGTTGTTATTACTGTGTTACACTGTGGGCCTTCATGGTGCATGCCACAGGCTCCTTGGGTGACACAGCACGTTAACGGTTGAGCTACTAACTGAAAGGCCAGAAATCTGAATCCTTCAACTTCTCCAAGAGAGAAATAGGAGACTATTTGGTCCTGGTAAGGTTCATAGCCTTAGGATCCCAATAAAAGGTTGCTATGAGTTAGGGTAGAAAGTGGGCTTGAGCTTTGTTTCCTTGAATATTTTTGGTTTTTAATCTTGGGTAACCTAGTCCATAGAGAGTTGTGTGGTTAACCCAAAGGTCATACCTTTCAGGCAATGTCAATTTACCAGTAGCTCCATGGGAGAAGGATCAACAATTTTTTTTTTTCCCTGTGTGATTTACAGTTTGGAAAATCCAATGGAGGGTCAGTTGTTAGTAGTCACAGGTTTACCAATGTAAAATTTCATTTGGGTTTTTTTCTTTTAGTTCTATGACGTATATTATTGCATTGTTTGCTGTTATTATATGTTGTCAAGTCAAAATTGACCATTTATCCATAGCAGCCCCTTGAGCAAGTTTTCAGAGAATGTAAATCACTGGGGAGGAGACTTGACTGCCCATTTTGCTGCCTCAGGGTGAATTCCAGCTTCTTGCCTCTGGAATTGCTGTGCAACTTTTTACCACCAAGCCACCAAAGCTCCCTATATCATTGCATGTACCACATATAGCTTGTGACTTAAGGGAACTCTGGGTGAAGAGTTGTGCTGCTACACCAATGCAGGTGGTTCGAATCTACCAGCTGTGTGCAAGAAAGATGGGCAATCACTTTCTGTGCAATTACAGCATCTGGAAACCTGCTGAAGGGTTAGATATCAGTCTCAGTCCTGACTATATGGTATATAAGTCTACACTGTGTTGTGCTGAGAAGCCGTCAAGTCGAGTATGATTCACAGCTACTCTATGAACAACAGATCTAAACCCTGTCCTAATCTATGCCATCCTCACAACCTCTGACACACTTGAGCTCATTGCTCAGTTGAGTGACTCTATCTGAGTGACTCTGCTTGAGTCAATCTACTTGGTTGAGTCTTCCTTTCTTTTGCTATCCTTCTATCTTCCCAAGAATAATATCCCTTTCCAAGGAATAGTCTCTCCTAGCAACATGTCCTAAGTGTGTGAGACAGTTTTATCATCTTTATGTCCAACGAGCAATCTGGTTTCACCTTCTCGAAGACATTTGTCCTTTTGGCAGTCCATCTGGTATCCAATACTCTTCTTTAACACCACAGTTTAAAGGCATCAATTCTTCTTTTGTCATCCTTATTCATTGTCCAACTCTCAGATGCAAAGCAAGTGACTGAAAAGAAGATGGTCTTAGTCCTCAAACTGACATTATTGCTCCTCAATAATTTGGAGAGGTCCCTGACTTCAGACTTTCCCAATGAAATACACTGCCTGATCTCCTGAATGCTGGTACCAGGTATATTAGTAATGCAAATCGACATTACTCATAGCTAATGATTTAAAAGTATTTTACATAATTATTGAAAAATGATAGGTGTCTATATATGTACTTTTATATACACTGGTATGTGGTTAGACCTTTATAATAAATGTAGGTTTTTCATTTCAGAAGTAGAAACTACGTACTTACTCCTAATCTGCATCGAAGTGAGATCAATTCTTATTTTGTTGAAGACAGTGTATCCAGCACCTTGGTAGTCATGTTTACATTCACAGTCTTGCCTTCTACTGCCATTGAAAGGACATTCGTATGGATTTTTTAGTCTGTAATAACATCAGAATATTTTTACATTTTAGCATGGTTATTAGACTACAATGTAGACAAATAATAGAATTTAGAAATGAAATTAAAAAGACATGCCCTTCTTGAATAAGTGCCAATAAATTAAAGGGAAACGGACTAAAATGAATTGCCTTAAAAAACTTTCAATCTGAAATTCAAGAATAGTTCATGGGGGGAAAAAACAGCTGTAATTCTCCTAGCTTTGTTGTTGTTGTTGATTGCCATTGAGTCAAGAATGACTTATAGCAACCCTATGAACAAAAGGCCTGAAGCCTTTCTATAACTATTGACATTTATCAAAGTTCATAGTTTCCAGAGGCATGTTGTTTAGGAAGTGGATGCCATTCCTACTTCCAACTCCTAGATTTAGCTACTGGGATTTCTCTAATTTCTGTGAACACATCACAATTCCTCTGTGAGCCTATGTTAACACTCAGAACTTTACTACTTATGAAAAACATCTGGCTTAGTTTCTAATAATATTCACCTGCTTCTGAATTAACCTGTCCCCCAGTTGAATTATTAAAGTATTATTTAAAAGGTTAGAATGTCTTACTCTCTTTAAGGACCATAAAAATGCATCAAAATCTAAAGTTGATTCTGACTCATAGAGGTCCTATGCACTACAGAGCAAAACTATTCGAGGGATTTTCTTGGTTATAATCTTTATGGAAGCAGGTCTTTCTTCTGTGGTACACATTAAGTGGATTTTAACTGCAAAAAATTTATTTCACCCAGGGGATATAAAAATACACATGTAATCCAAAACACAGCTTGTACCTGAAGCCATATACTTCAGAAAAGTTGTCTTCTTCACCTTTGACCAATGATACATATTCCTTGGGATTCTCCAGCTGCATGCCTGCACAATGAATCTAAAAGAGAAATGCAAACATCTAAAGCAGCTTCATAAAATGCCAGTTGTCAAAGTTAAAATCAAAAAGGACCTATTTTCATACTACCTTTATTGCTCTCCCCTTAATGTTGAGGTAATAGTCACCATCTTTCTTAATGTTGTTTTTCACTTGGATTTCTTTGCAGCTGGTAAGTGTTTTACCTTCAAGGACAAATGAATATAATGTATCAGTTCCAAACAAATGAAAAACATAGAATAAATTTAATTGGATCATTAAAAATATTGTTACCCTTTGAAAATCCGTACAGTGTGCAGAATATCTGACTACTACAAACAATTTAAAAATTAAGATCATGGAAATGAATGGTATTTGAATGAAAATAAAATTTTAAATAAAAATTAACATTAGGAACACGTAAGTAGCAGGTAAGTTTTAACAACTATTACTTACAGTCATTGACATAACATTTCTTTAGAGCATATGGTTTTAAGCGCTTTAAACACAAGTCACTGGACCAGCCATCTTCAGTCACGCATTCCACTCTTCTTTCCATTGTCCCAACCCCACACGTGACTGAGCACTATAAGCAGAATAAATTGTGATGGAAACTATTTACTGGAAGATAAGATCAGGAGACCTGTGCTCCTTCCTCTCAACTCAGAATTTTTTGGAACAAAATGCAAGTCAACACTGGACAGAATTAATATGGATGCTACAAGACCCTGGAGGCTAGACAGTCACAGGTGTGGGATATCCTTAGGCATATACCTATCTCTACTATTTCTCGATTCCTGGCTTCCTACTCATTTGCTTATGCAGTTATATCAACAGTATGTTTTAAATACTTAATGAATGATGGTAATTATGACTACTGAAAGTTTGTTCTCATTCATATATATGGTAACATGGCAAGCCAATATTTATTTGCTTTAATGAAGCAAACTGGAAATGCAATATAATCCAAATAATTTTTACCACTCATATGTTAATTTTATTTATTTATTCAGTTAGTCAATAAATAATTTTAAGCACTTTTTCAAAAAGCAGGTTCGCTGAGGAATAGAAATGAGCCTTAGTTCTGATCTCTCCTTACAAACAGGATATAGGAACATAAAAAGAAAGACATATAATTACCTTTAAAAATTAATTTTTAGAGAAGAAGGATATGAGATCATTCTGAATATCTGGTTAGACATTCAAATCCTCAGGCATACCCACATCTAGACAGTTTCAATGAGGCTTTAAGACTATCATTACATGCTTACCTTACTCCATTTTCCAACACTCCAAGTGGCCAAATGTAAACAGCTTCCAAAATTGCACTTATAGACCTGAGGGGAAGGCAGCACAGGGCATTCTCGATAATCTACAGGCCAAAGCTGATGAGACTTATATTTCTTAGTAGACCAGATAGCAGTGCAATATGTAATCCGTTGTTGGTAAGCAAATCCACAATTATTTGCACACTAAAAAACACAAAATTACCAGGAGGAAGAAAATTCCCTGTCAGTAAGTTATCTGACCTAATATGTACCAGATGCTTAATGTTTTTTATTATTCCATTCTAACAATAATCCCATTTTTATGAACCTCCTTTTATAAATGAGAAAACAGAGATTCAAAGATATAGGCGACTTTCCCTGAGTTGTTAGTTGTATTTGTTCCAACAATAAATGGAAGGACTCAGATTCAGCCTGCATTCTCGATCTGGAGTGACATTACAATGCCTAGAATATCTTGATTGAAAGAGTGTTTATGCTTGAATAGGCACAGTTTTGGAAAAAATGAAGCATATTATAGATCATTATCTGCCATTCTTCTAATATTCTTCTATCTAACATTCTTCTAGGTAGTATAGCCCTGGTCTGTCCACTTGGTGTGGGGAGGTAACTCATGTTTGCTGTGAAGCTGAACACTGTGACACTGATGAGTCAAATGCAAGAATGGTTACCCATGCCATCCTCATATCCTCTGCTGTGCTTAAGCCTACTGTTACAGTCTTTATTGCCCATTGTTTCTGCCACTGAGTCAATAAATCTCATTAAGGGCCTTCCTTCCTTTAGTTGACATAAAAACCATCTCAGAATGGAATAGTTCTATTAAAGATCTGACTAACATATCTGCAACAATTCCATACAATTATCTGTAGGTTTGTTGGTTACTTATTTACGATTGCTATTGTTGTTGTTATGTGCCGT